CTCTGCTGAGGGCCCGGCGCTTTGCTYGACATCTCCCTGACTGACCAGGCTGGTTACTCAATGGTCCACGTCACTATGTGTTTGCCTTTGACTATAGGGTCCCAGAGAGCTGTTGTGTGCCTGCATCTTGAGTCCCAGTCTGGGACTGCTAGGACTGAGCTGCACATACAGCCCGGGAAGCTTGTAGCTGCTCCCAGCACCTTTTTAATGCAGACACAGCTGCAGAGCTCGCTGTTGGCAATGAGACCTGCAGAGAAGGGGCACACAGCGCCCTGCTGCATCCCAGCATCCAGAGAGCATCCCTGTGCTAAACCAGCTGTTCCAGCCCCTCAGTTGGGAGAGCTATTGGCTATTGTCTCCTTGATAAAATCCTGCCTTCCTGCTATTTAAAACATATTTAACTGGTCTGAATCTTGGAAGCTGAGGTTGTTTTCAGAGCAGGGCTCCCATTTCCAAAAAGACAAAGCCAGAGGCTACTCCTCCAGCTAGCCTGGTGTGGGTGAATGAAGGGCGCCCATCACGGCCACTCAACACGTCAGGCTTTGCTCTGTCCGTAAGGCAAATCTGGCACCATCTGGCACACAAATAAGTGCCAGGTACCTTTAGGAAAGGGCTCGAACAGCCTGAGATTTAAACAAACTGAGGGATATGTCTGCATGAGGGATGAGGAGAGACGAGATAAACATGCACTGAACACAAGAGGGCAGGGAAAGGTCTTTTGAGAGGATCTTTGCTAGAAATTTCATTTTAATATAATGATTTTAGTTGGAAAGAGTTTATGAATAGCAGGAAAAATTACTGGGTAAATTTAATAATACACTAAATACAAAACCCAAAGAGGTACTTCTGAAAGGGAAGGGGGAAAAATATCTATGAAGGCTTTTTCAGATTTGAGAACTAGACTACCTTATGCTCAAAGCCAATATGCATATAAGTGCATATGCATTCATATGCATATGAAAAGGTTGYGAGTCTCCAATGAAAGACACCACAAGCTCTGCAGCTTTCACCTCACCAAATCAGTACCTGAGTTCTGGCAAACACCTCGAAGAAATTAAAACAGTGGCTCAGCTGGCTTTAGCGAAAGAAAGAAAAAGTGAGAATGCTGGAAAGCAGAAAGGGGAATAAAGCCTACCCTTTATTATTTTATTATTAAAGGAAGTATCAGCCTCCCTAGTGCCAGGCACGTGGACGTCTGGTAAGTGCCCAAGCCCCACAGGGCCGCATGTTGCAGAGGTCCCGTCACTTCAAGGCAGTGTGAAAGCRAGCACTGACCCTTCCCCACCTAAGCCAGCCAGAGAGAGACCCGCTCCTGGTCTGTTAATGTTGAACGCCCAACGGCGGGACAAGAGCAGCCAAACTGCCTTCCTGGGCTGGCGTTTCCTGCGCGGCCTCAGGCCCAGCCGAACGTGTTTGGGCTCCAGGGGCGCGCGGAGCAGGATGGGCCCCGGCTCCAGGGGGGGAGTCCCCGCCGGCCGCCAGGCTGCGGTGGCTGCCCCAGTGCAGCGGCCAACGGTGCCGGCCTGGCCAGAGCCTGGCTCAGCGCAGCTCAGCCCAGCCCAGCTGAGCCCAGCTCAGCCAAGGCGCCGCCGCCGGCCCGCCCGGCTCCAGCCACCACCTACCAAGGGCCGCAGTCCCGGGGATGCGTTTTGTGAGGAAAGGTCTGGGTTGGACTCCTGCGTGAGGGGGCTGTGCTGCCGCCCCCGCTACCGAGCCACCGTGGCAGTTGTCAGTGAGGTGCTGAAGAGAGCCTGACGTGAAGGCGGCTGCTGGGAAAGGGCCTCGCGCCACCCGTCCCAGCCTGGGTGACACCTCAGCGCACGCGGCGGCTCTTCTCGCCACTGGCGCCTATTTACCGCAGCAGCGAGGAGCAAATCACAGAATCACAGAATATTCAAGGTTGGAAGGGACCTCTAGAGAGCATCTAGTCCAACCTTCCTGCTCCAGCAGGCACACCTACAGCATGTAGCCTGGGGAATAATCTTATTCCATTGTGCTCTGTGTCAACAGAGCTGCAAAGTTCCTGTGTCACTGCGTGCTGCCGCTCCTGCCACAAACAGGTAAAATCTCAAAGTGCAGCCAAAATGAAAAAAAAAAACAACAGGAGTGCATGACTCCTTATGAAAAATAAATTGTAAAATATTTGTAAGCACTACAAATATTTGACTTTTCTCGTGAAAGTTCCTCCCGGCTCAGTGTTTCTGGAATGATCAAATGGAGGCCACTTTATTACAGTGGCATGGAATGAGCAAAATGAGTTTGCCAGACCTGAAGCTAATGCTTTTTAACCAGGAATTTTCTTTCTGAAGCCAATCTTACAGTAATGTGCTTTAATGAAGAAACATTCTTTCATTTTTCTTCCTCTCTCCTCTTCCCATTTTCCCCTCTGTTCACTTTTCGACTCCACACAGGCTAATCTATAAATAAGGTTACCCAATATTAAGCTTTTCTCCTTAATTCAGATTTGTCAGTTTTCTGAAGTCCCAGACACGAGAGACTTAAAATATTCTTCATATTTCCTCATGCCAGAGCAGCGCCTTAACTGTTGACTCTGGCTATGGACAAGGCTAATTATTAGGGCTACTTTCATCTCAGCAGCTAACAAATAGAAGAAAACACAAGCTTTAAGAAAACATTTTTTTTTTTACAAAAAAACTGTTTGCTCTGATTAATTACCTAGCAGAACAGCTCATGAGAAATTRATCATAGAACTATTTTCTAAAACCGAGGACAGATAGCAGACATTAATAATTGTGCCTAAGTCTTTCTAAGCCACAGTGGGTCGCTCACCATGCTATACTACCCCAAGTATTCACGGAGGTTGGGGCAATTCTCGTCTCTGTTCCTGGCGAGCCACTTTGCTGAGAAGCAGGTCCGTTTCTTGCTGTCTTGGCACAACAGCACGTCAGTATCTGTGGTCTTGCGGGACACAGCTAGCAAGTCACCGTCTTCCGGGCAAAGCTCTCGGAAACTTGTGTTTCCAGTGCTGCAGAGACACAGTTACTCCCCCGCCATGGTCACTCCTTCCAGGGAGAACTGATGGACGGGTTTATTTGTGGAGCTATGAGATTTCTCAAGGAGAGAGGCCCCGACTCCTCAGCAAGCAGCGAGGGAGAGGAACCAGTGGTGCCRGTTACTTCATCAGCACCACGTGTCCTGCCGCGCCTGGATCCTCCTCCGGACGGTTTCACAGAAGCCGCGTTGGGGCTAATGCAGGGCGGCCGCAGGGAGGAAYGACTCCGCGCTTATTCCTGCCGGCTCTTCCCAGTGCTGGCTGAAGCAGYGGATTCCCCTGTCAGTGCGGAGCTGCAACGTGCAAGGGGGCTCCTCTGGAGCCAAGGAGGAGCAGCCCAGCAGATCCTTCCCCCCTATCCCGACCGTGGCCTCCTTCCTGCTATGCTGAGGGCAWCTGAACTGCAACCGCTCTGCTCTTCGCTGCTCAGCTCCCCTGCTGCTCATCYGCAGCTGAAAGCACCGTCTATACATACAGGTATATAAAAAGTTATAAACACCAGAATTCCCAATTTTATATTCTAGAAACACAGCATACGCCCATGATGCACTTAGCTTTTGTTTCTCTGATACAAAGAACTTCTGATGGCTGGTGTTGAAAAGCTACCAGAAACCTATTTTTGTGAGCAAGGATCAGCAGGAGGATGAGCAGCTCTGCTTAGTTCTTCCAAGAATGAAAACTGTCCCTGCGGGTTTGGACAGAGCTGTCCCTCTGTGCAGCACCTCCTCAGATGCCCTTCACCTCCGCAGCGGTCTCCTTCTCGTGCAGATGACCRTGAGACACCTCGACACCTTGCACCACGGCACAAAAGGCACCATAAAAATTGGCCTGCAAACTAACACGCCAAGATAAAGCARGAATTTCCTTTTTTATTTCCATTTTGGCCCAACTCTTTTTCCCTCTAACTTGCCAGTCCCTCCCTAGTTTGCTTCAATACCGTRAGTACGTTGTTTGTTTCAATACTTCTTTATTAAATCACAAATGTTGGTATCTTAACCTCAAGATTAACAAGATGGGAGTGTTGAGTAAAACATTTTTAGGAGTACCTAATTTAATAGCCATAAATACAGTAGCCAAGAAGCCAAGGCTGTAACCAGCATATATGCACAGGAATAAATGATGGACCAATTTGCTAAAGGCCTTTGCTTGGATTTTACCTTCGAGGACTTCGTAAGGATACTTCCAAACATCTATGCACAGAGCTGCAGCAAACATGGAAAGGASAAACAGTAAAACAGCATCTCAGAGTAAGGAAAGGGCTCCCAGCGTAACGAGTGGTTCTTCAAAAGGAGGCAATGAAACACCTAGCTTTAGTGTGCAGCGCTGCTTTCCCCTTAATTACTTAGTTAATAAACATCGCCGAGGRAAGCACATGAAGATCTGCTGAGCGGAGCTTGCTTTCTCCTCCAAGAACCTCACTGGCTTCAGAAAGTTAGAGGGGGAATAAAGAAGGGGAAAAAAAGATTAAGCCATTTTTTTCCCTCCACTTCGTTTTGCGATAAAAAATTAAATGACATCTCCTATTTTTCAAAAGTCCTCAGTAACTCTGCAATGTTTTAAGATTTACAAAGGTCAGYAACAACAACAATAAAAAAAATTACTAAAGGTCAAGAGTTTTCTGCGTTCTGGATCCTGCCTTTGTCCTCAATTTGGCTCTTCTGTTTGAGAGAGCATCAATTTCTCCCTGTTAGAAAAAGCCTCCGTCAGTGAGAGCTCCCCGAAGGTGTTGGCTGGTCGGGGTTTCCGGGCGCTGCCCTGCCCTGCAGGGTGTGGGGCTGGCGCTGCTGGTTCCCAGCGAGGCGGCTGCCCCTCTGCAGCCCCAGGGGAGGCTGCAGCCCTTCCCCTTCCTCGGGGCTGGGGCCGCTGCAGAGCTTGGCCCCCGCTCACACATCACAGAAACGGCACAGAGAGACTTGCAGAGCTTCCGCGGAGCAAACGGGAGGGAAGAGAGGTGCGAGGYTTTTAAAAATACTGTTAAATGCACAAGGGTTTCCTTTATTCCACTCCTGCATGGGGAAAACACTGTCACACTGGCAGGCTATTTAAATGCATACGCGATGGCACAACCTCCAACTCACTGTACATATCTCATGTTCCCAAAAGGTTACCGATTATAAAATTTCTTTAAATCCCATTAAAATACCTCTCGTAGGAAATCAGTATCTTAAATTGGAAAGTTACATTCAATCTTGCAAAACAGTTGCAATATACAGTTTTTACAGCATGAAATACACCAATCTGCAGATCTACAAAGATTTTTTCTTTTCCTTATATGGCTGTCTCTTTACCATCTCACGATCCTCCTCAAATAAATATTTTGACAAAAACATCTCACTTCTGATAACGGAAGTCACATCACGGGTGGAGAGAGCATCAGCCACGCTGCAGCCCTGCTACAACAGAGTGCCTTTCACCCGCCAGTCTTGCGAAAGCAAATCCTGCAGTTCTTCCTCATCCTCGCTGCCCAGAGCTTCATCCTCTTTCTCCTGGCTCGCTCGCAGCCTCATGGCTTCTTTAAGCTTCTCCTTCATGAGCTCCTGGCGGTCCCGCAGCAGCTCAACGCGGCGGTAGCACTCGCTGGTGGGAAGTAAAGGGCCCCTTAGTGCCTGCACCCCAGAGTGTTTTCTCGAGCGCTGCATTCTGCCTCCCCAGCTCTATGGGAACCGGCTTCCCGGCAGGCAGAGCGCCTGCCAGGGCGCTCCCGCCCTCTCCATACTCACCAGGTGCAAAAGGAACCGAGGAGAGAGCCAGGCCATTCTTTAAAGACATCTGACTCGACACAGAACAACCACAGCCCCACCACAAGCTGGCTTAAGGAGAGAGAGCCAGTACCCGCTTCCATACAGGAAGGGACTCCGTTTTTTGCTCCACTTCTGTTTTTCATACCTGGTAGCAAGTTGAGCATTGGCCATCGTTTTTTAAGCCTTAGAGGTAGTACCCCTGAACTGAAGTCTGCTCATAGCCTTAATCTGCTGACTGGGCACTAAACTAGGGCCCCTCAAACTTTTGCACTTATTTATAAAAGTTCTTCTCAAAAATTAATAAAAAAATCTATATTTTGTTGAAAATAACAGGTAGGATGAGCCTGTGACTAATATCACTCTTTAATTCTTATTTGTTAGACAGAGCCACAGTTCAGAGCCTATTTCCCCTTGTAAGCCTGCAACAGAATTACTGACAGGCATCCATATCTGCATGAAGGCTAAGGAAAACATGAACTTCGCTGAAATTATTTCAATTTATAGATTTTTTTTTTACAGCTTTCAAGAATGTGCAAGAAAAATCCAGCTAACCAAAAGGAAATTCTAAACCAAMGGAGTTCTGCAGGGCTGGCGGCTCAGTGAGACCTAACACATCGTTCCAATAAGTACCAAATCTGAACACCAGGAACAACATCTGTAGCTTGGTCTGGCGTGCAAAGTGCAGTTAAAAGCGCAAAGTACCTAACTCATCATCCCAGATGCTTTTAAAAGAGCAGCCCATAATTCCTCAGTTTACTTCACCATGAAGTAAGAAATGTTCTTGATTAAAACTGAAGCATCCTAAATTCTTTTAAAGATTGCTTCATTTCTGCTACTGAATGTGCCCATGGGCACATATGCTTAAAGAGAAGATTCTAGAGTTCAAATAATATTGAGAAGTAAAGCAGAAGATGTTTTTCTAACCCTACACGGAAGATCTGATTTATCTGAAGAATTTCTGCTAGACACACAGTGCAATTCTGAAATAATCTGTGTTCAAAACATGCAAAAAGCTACAAAAAATGATCTTATAAAAGTCTATACGGAACTTCACTCAAGGGAAAAAATACTATGGCAATAAATTGAAATTCTTTGCAAATTTTTATATATATATATATAAAATATAATATAAAAGATATATCTATATATATCATATATATATATATAAAATATAATATTATATTTTATATATATATATATGATATATATAGATATATCTTTTTTATTCCTATGTACAACAGCATTTTAAACTACTGGTGAAAATGAATAGTGAAATACAGTCTTGCTGTATCTCAAGTCCCCTCCGAAGACATGATCATTGTTAAAAGACATTCAGGTACCACCAAATCTGAATTTGAAGCATCTGCTAATATCTCCTTTTAGGATCTCCTTTCAGATGAAAGTTTCCTTGAAGTAAGAATTACATTTTTCTTTTCTATGATTTGTACCTGTTAAGCATCACGGTGGTAACAATCTGTCACAGTAAAGTGTTTTCTTCAGGTTACTTGGGAGTTTAATGCTTCTCCAATTGCTACGCACTTTTTAATTACATGACATTTTATTTAAGTATATTACTCAAAATTTTACTTACTCAAAAAATACTCAAAAATTAAGTGTATTACTCAAAAGATTTTAGTAAATCTTTTGTTAGGGACCAGGAGGGATGGCTACAGAATGGTACTTTCAGCCCAGTAGATGATCAAAACACAAATCTCATTACAAAGATTTTGTTTGTTGTGAAGAAAAAATCAGACATTGTTTAAAAGAAAATGGTTATTAAATATGTTCATATGAATTCACTCAGAATTCAGAGAAAAATACTCAGGACTTAGGGAATTATAACTTCAGGCATTTCATGCAGGCAAAGGCAGGCAGACTATTCAAAGGATTTACGCTTTATTGCTTCATTTTGCCCTGGCCTGCTGTTTTCAGTGATTTTTAGCGCAACCTTCCTCAGCAAATAATTAAATAGTTTTGCACCAAAACGCATATCCTCATTATGCATTATTTTGAGGGAATCTGCCTTTGTCCTCCAAGTCACCAATACCTAGGTGATTAATGTAAAGTAGTTTCATGGAAGATTAATAACATTAAAGATGTCTGAGAGTCCAATCATATAGACACCCATTCCCACTGGCGAGCACGAAGTTTGAGGAAGAACTGATCTACTTACATCTGCTCATCAATTTCTCCAATCTGCCGGTCTAGCCGTCCCTCCTCATCCTCTTCGGCCACTATTGCTTCTGAAATCTAAACCAGAAATGCTCTGAGAAAAATTGTATTTGTCCTTTCCCTGCTATTCTTTTTTGATGTCCATATCTCCTCCCCCACCAAGACACGGGGCTCATTAGTGTCAGTCTCTTACATATACACTCCTACCTTCACAAAAACTCCAGAGGCCTGTGCAGAAAAAGACTTTGTGATCTCGATTAATTTTAAGTGGAAAGGACATCATGAAATTTTGTATTTACATTAAAAAAAAAAACCCAAAAACTTAAGGCAGCTAACCTACTTTTTAGTATTTTGAATTTTTCGGTACACTACGATTTGCAAAGCAGCATAAGCAAACTATGCACATTAAAACTCCGCGGATGACACAGGAACTCTCAGTATTTGGGCCTTACACATGAGTATTGAAGGYTATGGTCAAATATTCCCACTGGATCCCCAAGTATTTCTAACTTGTTATTTTTTTCAGCATATACTTTCTCAAATCTGAATGTCTGGGAGATGCTATGCAGCCCATGGTCCACACGTAACTGAGAAGACTCCTTCTAAGCTGAAGAATTGCGTGAATGGCTAATGCCAGCAATATGTATCCACTGCTGTGTGTGAYTGAACCTGCATTCCGTGTGCAGAGCTGCCTGCTTTCAGGGAGCAATGATAAGAATATCAGGTATCTTTAACTGTACAATAGCCTGCTCTGGGAATACTTTCCTTGCAATTCAGTAAGAAGTTAAAGTCGTGTCCAACTTGTCTTGTACATAAAATCTCATTTTACTGTCCCAAAGCTTGTRGTTCCTTTCTATGAAAACTCAGATAACCTACACTTTATAGATCTTGCTTCAAGAAGACAGGCATATGGAGGGCGAGTTGTCTGGCTTTTAAAATTAAAATATGAACACATCTAATCTAAGAAAGAACGTATAATTACAGCCCCCTGTCTGGATGAATAGATGTAAGGAACCCTTTACTCATCCATCAAGCACATGAACTGCATCCTGCAGTGAAACACATAGCTGACAAGTGCAGYACATCAGTCATTCTGCAGTCCTGCATGAAACCTGTTTTCTGTTGTGTGTAGTGTATTTAGAGTCAATAAAAAGAGATTGCAGTACTTACTGTGTTGACCTGTCGCATTGCCTTTTGAAATTCATCCCATTCTTTGTCCATTTGATCTTTTGGAGCATCAACTTTTCGCACCTAAGGAACATGAGTAAGACAAGTGTGTTAGCAATTAATAKCTAATCACCCCCTGGGCACTGTAATTTGAAAAAGTAACACATAAGAACAAGATAGCACAGCAGCCATCTAATGATTTCGAAGGAAAAGACTCCACTCCTGGATTAAAAATGTAACACTAAAAAATAACAGACAAGGAGGGGATGGTGTGGGATGTCTGGATTGACAGAAGTGAATGAGTCTGGAAAYTTGAGAGCTTTCACTCTATTAAGTTTTGAATTCTTCCATGAGCTGCCTGTTCAAACATAAACAGCAGCACATCTCAAARGCCAGAAGTGATGAATTATGAATTTTTAATGTTACAAAGTATTAGGAGATTCAGTAACTAGTCTGGCTACTTCCCTGTGCATGTACCTACCACTTTGTCTTGCAAAAGCTTTCGTGCAAAGCTTTTGTTTGTTTGTTTGTAGCAGAGAGCATTAATTAGTAAAATGCCTGAAACAGTAGCAGATGTAAGAATGGGTCTAAAATCTGCAAAGATCCAATCAAAAAATCAGACTGTGCTTTTAGCCGAGCATATAGCAAATAAAAATGTCATCTACCCATGTAACCAAAACTTCCACAAATAATGATATAAGTCACAAMTTCCAATCTTTGTGTTAGACAGCACATGTCTGGCCCTGGATTGGGAGGAGCAAAACTGGGAGAAGCAAGCAGTCTGGACAGTAATTTATCGTACCTTATTGCACTAGCTTTGTTTTTATTCATTCTTCTTTTCTGGCAACACATCAATCATCATCACACTAAAGACTACTTGTGTACATCATTTGCTTCTGAATGATTATATAAAATCAAGTAGAATTAATTAGGCTTATAGAATAAATTAAAAGTCTCAAAGCAAACTGGGAATTAGGAARTAATATCCATCTCATTTTTCTGTTTTGTGATTATTTCTAATATGTGCGTATGTAGTAAGTTATTACACACTGTGGTTGCTTTTTGTAATTCATAGCTATTTATGTTTGTTTTAATAAATTTAAGTACTAAAGATATGACTTTCTTGAAATATTTATCTAATGCAGAACTAAAATGTTTTATAACCCTGAGGTAAAGAATCGGTCCTTTTCAATCCCAAGACCTCCCCCCAAAAGCCCACTGGATTTCCTTTTTTATTTTTTGTATATGTATATTTTTATTTTATGATTCCAACATGAAATTACTGCAACCACCTCAGCAAAATCAATGACATAATCACTTTCGTTCTTCCTATTAGCTTCTTCTTATACCTGAAAAGGTCCGATTTAAAAAAAAAAAAAAAAAAGGGAACATCAAGCAGTTGAAAAACGAGCCTGTTTGAACCTCTATCCATTTTTAAGTTTTACCAGCTAAGGAAATGACCTTAATATAAGATCTCTATCCAGGGTCCTCAACAAATATAAGGACATCCGCCTCCCCTGGTAGACCCGCTTGCTTTACGCTGGCCTCTCAGCAAAACTGAAGTACTTGAAGAGTGTAATACGCTCCAGTTGTACTCAGACACTTCCACTTCTGCTTGCGTGGGACTTTTTAGCTACATACTTCTATATATAAAAAATTAATTATTCAGAAAGATTCTGAATGTAAGCACATTTGTATTTGCCACCACGCTCATGTACGTGAGGGGTGCACAAGGAATGCCACCAGTGCAAATAAAAAACACACCAGGTTATACCTGTGCCGGCAGGACAAGGCCAATGAGGCTATTGGGCTCCTAATCCAAAGCCATGRTCCCACCTCACCCTCAAATTTAAATTCTCCAACAGTCTTCCAAAGTGCGAGCAAGAGAGACACATATTCAAGGAAAGCAAGCACAGCTTCGAAAAACAAAACGTAAATCCACAACACTTACTTTAATAAGGATAACAAGCAAGCCATCAAATCTGAGGTAAATTTTACAAAAATATTCTCTGCATTTCAAAAAAATCAGTGCTATTTCGATCATTATTTGGCACTGTGCAAGATGTAGGATGCTGATGACAGATTTTGATTGATTTTGATCACAGTTACATGGTTTTTAATCACTTGGACAAACAGCTTAAATGCTCACAACTTATTTTCTCTCCCCGCCTCTATTTCTTTCTTTCTTTCTTTCTTTCTAAGCAGCAAATAAAAACTCATAACTGTAAAATGACAGAGAGTTAAGATAAAGTTTGCTGTCATAGTGTGTCAGGACTAACAATTAGAGTGTATCCCCCTATCTAGTTGTCTTCATCCTGGCAGTCCGTGTAGGTGCAATACAAAATAACACCAACTCTTACACTTTTCAACAGGAACCCTTGAACCACATTACAGAAGCATTTTTATACTCTCAGTTCAGAGGCAGAAGCAGACCCACAGAAAYGCCTTTCTCGGGGCCATTTACAGAAATAAAAACGAGTGGATCTTCCRTATCCCAATTCAGCATTTTGGTCAATCAATAATCTTGCTACTTTTAGTCCACCACAGAAACAAAAAGTACTATCTCTGAGATGGTTTAACAAACTCTTGCTTTTCCCTTTCATTTCTTCTAATTACACATAATGAAATAATTCAGTCCTTTTCCTATATTCTGGCTATTACTCCTAACTAATTACCTGGAAAAGCATCCTTATTACTCAGAAAACTATGAGATCCAGCAAAAAGGAAATATAAGACCACTTACTCTGGCATCCACCTCAGGATCATCAAAGAACCCTTCTGGTAAAGCTTCAGCTGTGTTTTCTTTCCTGAAATGTTGGATTATTATCCCAAGTTAATACTTTCTAATTCTTTGTGTGGAGATAAAAGTAGTTAAGAAAAAAGAAAAAACCCACTTTTATAAAAGGATCTAGAAATGAAATAAATTTCACCTACACTCATCAAAACTCATTTCTTCCCTTTGGTCTCATCTCACACAAAAGGAACTTTAAAACTCACCATCAAAAAAGCAGCTACAACTTTGGTTTCCTGAGCTATCCTTACCATTGTTTCAAACACCCAAATATTTTAYCAACAGAATCTCTGTTTTTGATAGTCTAGACACTTATTCAAGCATTGACTTAAGCGAGTCTAGCTATTATTAAAAAAGTCAGTCAATAGTTTTCTTTCAAAAGCAGTAGCTGACTCTAAACTTCAGAAGTAGCCTGTATAAAAACTTGCACAGATATCTAAAAGATCCACTGTTCTATTTCTTTTTAATCCTACCTGTAGGATGTCAAATACCATTCTGAAATTATGTACAGACGGTTCTAGCTACAGGAACAGCAAGACAGATTTCTGAATGATCACAAGTGTTTTATGAAATGGTAATATTTAATTACAATTCCCCAATTTATCAATATTACTTATGACTGCTTACCTTTCCACTACCTTCTCTTGTATCTCTGGCTTCTGTATGGATCCTGAATGGGAGACTATAGGCACAGCAGTAGTTTTGCTGTCAAAGAAGTCTGTAAGAAAGGACAAAAGCCAATGAATAACTGAACAAGCTCCTATACAAAATTCTGACTAGAGGAATTTAATATCTTACTGAATCGAGCCAAAACAAAGAAGCAACAACCAACCAATATGATTCTGCTTAACCTCACACAATTACAGTATAAAAGTGGCAAACAGACTGAAAATAAAGACTATAAAATAACCAAGAACCCAAGAATCGCTCTCCCTACTTTCCTTCTACATCCTCGTCAACTGGCAGCATTAAGTAAAAATATCAATCACAACCCCTCCATCACGCATCCTCTCCTTACTGAATTACTTACTACGTTCATCATTACCTGGAGGTAAAGAATTAGCTACTACTTCTTGTGTTGGGGGTGGAATCTCAGTTTTATGTGTAACAGATGATTTTTTTGAGTCATCTTCCTGTTCTTCCTCCTCCTCTTCATCATCATCATCATAGTAACTTCCGGACAGTAAACTGGGACCCGGACCCTTTGCAAGAGGCTTTTTTGCACCATTTTGCTCTGTTTCAAAAAAATCTGCTGGTAGCCTAGTAAAGAACACAAGAAATAAACATTTGAAACTTCACAAAAATCAGTTACAGTCTAGTATCTAAAGTCAATTTCATCTGTTAATACTATGATCTTCTCAGTATTTTGTAACATGCTAAACTGCAGAGCAGGAAGTGTAGCTGTTGTCCAAAGGCAGCACATAATCGCCAATTTCTTTAAAATTTCTTAAGAAATATTCAGGTTTGTATAGAAAACATTCGAATTTCCAGTTTTTGTACTTGTATATTCACCACAAAACAATTTAATCAAAGTGCCCCATAACAAAGCAAGGTTTAGAAATGCAAACTCTTTAGATAATACAGTGCTCACACTCAGAATTATGTGCATCTAYGTACGTCCTATAAATACACTAAATGCGAAATTCATAGGACAGCGGCAATACAAACATCACTTAGACCTTGATATCCTTCATGCAGCTACTTATTCTGGGTACTAACAGCAGCTCAGAACTGCAAAGAGACAAATTAGTTTTAAAACGAGAAAGATCTGCACAGTCTCAGCAATGTAAAATTTTAGGATATCTGCCAATCTCTAATCTGAACATTTTTCCCTGCTGGATTTTAAAAGTTACTCATAATGACCAATTTGGTGATGAACAACTTCACAACTGCGTAATTTTATACACACAAAACAAGGAATTCCCACAAGGTAACAATGTCTATAAGGATTAAGATAATAATGCGTAAGGTTAATGCAAGACAGTAATAATTCAGCCCATGCAGAAGCATACAAGAGTTCTACAAGCTTTTGTGATACCTCCCAACCCCTCACGGCCATCAAAATATCCTCAAGGGACACTAAGATGCAGAGAGGAGGACAAATAACTGAATCCCCTGAAGCCAGGTATAACACTTTTAAGAGAAAGGCTTCATCTGGAAGACAGGAATTCATGTGAATTTCAAGAAAGAAAAATATCTTGATAGAAACCTGTCAATAAAGTTTATTAGTAGGTTTGGTGACTAAATATTATTTACATATGTACTACATAATTTCTCTTCAGTCCCTCCTGTGTTTTGGAGTACAACAGCAGTTACAGATTGGAGCACACACCATAATCTATTTTCATTCTAGTCCATTTCGTAACACCACCATACTAAGCATTAAAAGTCTGGTAATAATAGCAAACTTATTCTTGTTTTGTCACAAACTAGATCTAGAGTTAATACAAAGAAAGATGCTGGCAAACTCTATGCACCCACATTAAACTCCAAACAGAAGCAAGGATCTCCTAACTGGTATCTGAATCTTTACCCTCAGCTGGGAAACAGAAGAGGAAGAACAGGGTGAGAGCACAAGGAGGATCATATACGGTCAATTAAAAAAAAAAAAAAAGAAAAAAAATCACATAAAATCTACTTACCCAGACGTAGACGTGTGCGGCTTGTTATCTGAACCTGTATAACAGCCAAGAGTCACTTCTCAATCTATTCTTTTCAGAGAAATATCCTTCCAATAAAGCCTTGCTACAGCAGAAGCGATAAAGACAGTGCCTGTTGCCATAATTTCTGAACTGCTGCAATTTAAACGTTCCCAACAGGTACTGACAGGTACTACCAGTACTACAGAGGGTACTAACCTTATGCATGCAAAAAAAAATTACTCTCAAAGGTGCAGGGTTTGCTTAACCCTGTAACTGACAAGCCCAAAACAGTAACTTGTCTTACGATTCTTGAAGAAACATAACAATAATCCTTACGTGTGAACCATTAACTACAAAGTATTTGGTAAGCACAGAGCCAATTCTTCAAACACAGAAAAAACATCCAAAACATTTGCTCAAATGTGACACTTTCATACTATTAAGTGTATTAAATTGCCCTAAAGGAAGAGATTTAACTACCTTCCTTCCTTTAGCATAAAGTTTATCGAATGGCTTGTGGTCCAAGGAAAAGTGAAGTGAAATTCTCCCCCTAGACAAGCGTTACCACTGCTTGATTTATGCTGTTTCTTATGCTGTACAGACCAATCCACCACCCCATGACCTAATTTACCCCATAACACAGAAGAAAACTAGTTAACCTACCAAAGTAACATTTTTTTCCTGGACTGACAACCATATACATTCAAAATAAAAAATCTCTGATTCTGCTAAGCACTTTGTAAGTATTTTCGTGACGTTACCTTTCAGCCTCTTTAATTCTGCACTTTCTGTGTCGTTTTTTCGCTTGCCGGGATGGGGCGAGGTGCCAGCAGCTGGGGCAGCCGCTGCCTGCTTTGTGCCTTTTAGCTCCGCAACTCTCTGCAAAGCACAAAATCCGGGAGACGATCAGAAACTTTCGAACTGCGGCTCAAAACGCAGCATAGGTGGAAAATTTCATTAGGAGGATGTAACGTTTTTTTCCGGAACAGCATCACTGAAAAAGACGTCACCGATACAAGGAACAAGGCTTGGTGGAGGCATTATCCTCTCGCGCAGAAACGCTGGGATGGCTCCCAGGGAGCTTCACGGGACAAAACCCTCCCCAAACCTTCCCCCCTCGGGGGCGCCAGCCCCGCCCGCCGCCGCCATTTCCTCGCTGCCCTCCCCCTACTCCGCCCCACCCCACCCCGCGGCGGCCGTTGGCGCGGCCGTTGGCCGTTGGCGCGGCCGTTGCGGGCCCGCTCACCTCGCGGTGCTGCTTGCCCAGCACGTGCGTCTGCCACAGCAGCTCGCTCTTGACGGGCGCGTTGCAGAGCGCGCAGCTCAGGTGCCCCAGGCTGTTGTACCTGCGCCGCCGTTAAGGGAGRACGAGCCGCTGCGAGGCCCCGGACCTTCCCCCTTCCCCCTCTCCCTCCCCGCCCCGGGACAGCCGCCCGCAGGGAGCGGGGCCAGAGGATACTTGGCGAAGGGCGAGTCGAGGCGCTTCCTGCCCGCGTTCTGCCGCTGCTTCTCGCGCATGAGGCGCCGCAGCTCCTCCTGCCGCACCTGCTTCCGCGCCGCGCCCGCCCCGCCCGCCGCCATTTTGTGCGGCTCCGCCGCGCCGGGACGCGCCGCGCGTGCGCAGGGGAATGGGCGGGGCCTCCAGAGCCACGCCCCAATATGAAAAAAAGGCGTGGCTTCCCGCCTTTCCTAAATAAACAGGAGAGTCCATCTGGGGTAGACGCGCGCAGGCAATTCTAAATATAAACACCCAGTGCCCAAAGCTATGCCTTTTTAATACCTGGTTTGCAAAAGGATGATTTTTCTTTCTTAGCACCAAGTTGTCCTTCTCTGCTTTTGTCCCGGAAACTGACTGTTGATAACGGGAGTTACCACAGAACGGTGGTCAGCTCTGGACCTTGCTTCTAAATCCAGACCTGCTGGCGGRAGGGGTTCGTCAGAAGCCCTTGGGCCTCTCATGAACAGACTGGCAACCATTTACCATTCGCAATCCTTGGATTGTTCCTTGGATTCTTTGAGACAGGTTCAGGATGCACTCACGCAATGAGGTCTCAAGTGCTGGGCAAATACAGTCAGGCCAGGGAACCAGCACGAGGAAGGAACACATACACGCCCTCTTCTAATTCATAGCCAAGCTTACTGGGATTTTAGGGGTTAAAATCTTTTACAGTTCGTAAAAAAACAGTCTCAGGTAGAAAAAAATGCAATTAAAAAAATAACAAAAAAATGGCAGATCGAATTGTGATTAAACTCAGACATTTTTACAACAAAAGTGACCCATTTTTAATGCAAGGCTACCATTTCAATTGTCCCATAGTGTTTTTCACTGAAGCAATGCTCCTCCTACAAACAGCAGAGAAATATGGCAAGACAACACTTTAATAGTTGTAACATATTAAAAGTTACCTGTTTAGTCACATTTTCTACTTTCATTTTGTAAGGAGAGCTAGTGGTAAAACAGTCATATGCAGATAAAGCCTCATTATCTAAGGGGCCGTCTCCTCCTCAGTCTCAGACTCACRTGAGATGGAGGAGCTCAGCTTGGTCACAGGAACAGGCTCCTACCAGTCAACATCTCACTGGTTACTGTGAAGTACCAGAAACATCAGAAACATCAGTGAAAAAGCAGCTCTCATTACACGTATACCAGCTCTGGGCTCCAGCTCAAAACTGCAAGGCCTACATCAGTCAGTAACAATCACTGCAAATTTCCATTAAATATTGAATGGATTCAGTGCAACTAGAAAAGAAGCCAAACATAYATTTTGAAACAGCTCCTTATTCACACCTTGTTGAACTGAACCCTTTATACATGAGCAGCATAAATGATGCCATTTCATTTCCCGCAATAACTCAAGGCATAACAGAAGCAATAAAAATAAGCTATAAAACACAGTACACCAGAAATCCATGTAAAAAAATATACACCTGTATCAAGGAGCTCAACAACAATGTAATGCACCACTCAAATTAAGTACCATACATGTTACAGTACATTCCATTTATTATGACAATTTAAGGCTAAAATAGGTACAACTCCCTCATAATCAAGCTTTCTTATATTTATCAATGCATACAAACATTAAGTAGATACAAATATGTGGTATTTTTATTGCTCTGAACTGTTACTAGAATGTTATGCTTCTCCAGATGTTGCTTCAGTTTTCCAATCAAGCTGAAGTTCTACAATTGCGACTTATGGCATTTTTATGATCACATTATCTTCTTTGATTTGAGCTGTAAATAAATTCCAAGACATAACAGACAAAATTGCCCGTCACTGCAAACTTTGTTACTCAGTTAACTAAGCACTCGTCCATAAGATACATGACAATTCACCACAAATATTATTTCTGCAATTCTTTACGAAGGATTGTTTTCTTTTCAGAATAATAGGTCTAACCAAGTGGCAAACATGACAACCAGCAAGTAATGATTCACTAGTAGCAGTCTAACAGACTGGGCTTAAAAAAAAAAAAAAAAAAGCTGAATAAGTGCTCCAAAACAAAGAGCAAACTTCTCTTCTTGCTCATAGAGCAATTACGTTTCCTAATTAAGTAGAACAATGCCTCATTCTGCCAGCGCCAAATTCTTTGACTGCAACTTGTCCATTTCTTGGCCAATATTTCCTTCAACTGTATCACACTGGGCAAGAAAAGCCTGAAAATAAGAAAACAGACAAAAGTTAACAGGGATGTAACTTCAGCAATGTTAGACTGCTTCTTAAGAAAAGAAATTAAAGTTTCCAACAGATAAGAAGACAATTCAACAACCACCTCCCAGATCAGCTTCAATAATGACTTATTAATAGTTTTATTTACCTGGAATTCAATGGAAATATGACAGTGTGGTTGTCCATCCTCACTGACATTGAACCACTTCAAGTTAATCAAAAATCCACCATCATCAGCAAGAATCAAAAAAGTTCTGACAAGTTGGGGGTTTCAGCTGTGAACATAACTTTAAGCTCCCTTCCTACAACACACACTTCTGTGGCCTAAGATGGGATCCTATTCAGCCAGATCCAAACAAGCTTTCATTAAGCCAAGAACTCTGTTCGTACTTCTCAAGACCGCAGGGCAGCATGAACCCTCATCCTGACAGGCAGCCCATGTGCCTCCATGGTGGGAAGCCCCCTTCCAAAGGGAGCAGCCCACAGCACCTTGAGCATTTCTTGCAACATGCCCACAAATTCCCGCAATTGTGGTAACTCACATGCAGCAGTTAAAGGCCTGCGACTACTGGTTACCTTGGATTCCTGATCCCCCCTCAACACTTTAAGCTTCCATCAATATATTCCCATAGGCGGAGTCCAAAGCACTGACTATCGTTTCTATCTACACACATCTTACACATGGTTTTGCTGTATCTGCAACAGACTTTACAGTCAAGCAGGGTATTCAATGCTATTTGAATTGAAATAGCATTAGGAAACTTCCTTCTCCTCTCCTCTACTTCTTATGCCAGGTCAGTGTTTTTCAGCACCCAAGCTGTTTTGGATCATCTGTTTTTGGCCAACCCCTTACCCTGACATCAGCTCACTTCTACCAAGACTTGGGTGATRAAGAATTCAAGGTAGCAGCTGTCACGGTTGTTGCCTGCAAATGTTTTACATCTGAATCACCACTCTGGAAGATACGAGGCTGTCAGCAACAGAAGACTGTTTATTACTCCCTCTTGCTTCTACAAATATATAGAAGTAATAAATATAATTTGCCATACTTTCCTTGCTTTGGAAAAGTAAATTACTACTTTGGTCTGAAATCCCTTAAGATTCTTCTGCAGTCCCCAAGTGGATCATAAGCCACAGAGGCTGAACACYGTCCCCACACAAGCTCATAGCTCATTCTGACCTCTGCCCAAAGTCCCCTTTAGGCTCTAACAGCAGTTCTTATTCAAAGTCCCACTTATTTCTGCAATAACTTCATGCAAGAGTGGAGCACTAGCAGCTTGCAATGAGCTTTACAGTAATAACTGTAGGCTAGCTACTTTGGTCAAGCACATGCAATCAAAATTATTCAGAGCTCTATATAATAYAGCCTTGCCAGGAGACCATCTTCATTGCCACTTGCGTTACTTGACCTTGTCTCTCTAGAGGAATATAAACAGCTTTGAACTTAAAGGAAAGCACTTCTACTACAGAGTACTTCTTTGTAGAACTTTCTCTGAAATAAACAGCCTTTTTAAAATACATGTGAAACATTTTTGGAAATTTAATAAAGTTTATGGTAAAAGACAAAACCTTTCCATTCCATATATGAACAAAAGGAACATTCACATATAATTTTCAGAAGTCTAACCTGTGACTGCAACTAGCACAATACAAATCAAAACAATAATCTGAGAAGCACCACCACTTGTTTATGAAAGTTTTTGGGTTTGTTTTTTAAGGGGCAGAGTAGGGTGGAAGAGGGTTAATTCCAGCATTCAGTAACAAATTCAGAATGAGGTCTCTAAGGAACACTCAGGAAAACACACAAATCATATTTGTTTTTTAATAACTAAAAAAAAAACACCAACAATGCAGCCACACCTCCATACAGCTTTCAGCTTAGAGACTTAACTTCTATAGAAAATTGGTGTGTCAAAATGCTAAATTTTCCAAAAAGCACCTCCAGCAAAGTCTTTCCCAGCTTCCAGCAGGAGTCAGTTGGCTGCCCTGTTGTGCCCAGATCTCACTCATTACTCCAACCCACATAGATATGGGAAAGAAAGAATGATTCTGTTTCATTTAAAAGTAATTGGAATTGCCCACTTCATCAGGCAGCCATAAGGCCAAGCACTAATATAAATTACTAATATTATTTGAAAATAGTATGAGCTATRAAAATCTGTATTTTTCTAATACTATAGAAGTATTAACAACTACTCAGAAAGAGGTCATGAGAAGTAGCACTGTAACAATAAATACTGCAAAAATCTAAGATCTAAACTGCTCTCATTTTCACAAGCTGTTGCTGGGAAAAGAACTCACCTGAACCCTTTTCACCAAGCCCTTCTTTTTCAGTTTGCAATCACTGAAATTCTCTGGCAGGTTCTGCAGTAAAATAAGTGAACAAGTTGATGCAGCTTAATCTTGAAACTAACATATTAAACTTACAGTGAAAAGTTAATGTGTCAGAGAGCTGAATCCTCCCAACAGGCAAGCTGAAAATGGCATGCCTGCTCAGTGAGGAGGACTACACACCAAATAATTCAAAAAAAAAAAAAGTAATAATTTACATATAAATATATACAACATGATGATGGCAAACAACTGAACTAGCAAGTTTACCATATGTCTTCACCTGACACATAGCAATAAACCACACGCACTTTGTCCACTGTACATACATATGTTAACTCTTCTGCTGGGCTCTTCTTCAGGTTTTCAGAGACTACTGAAGATGCAGTAATTTCTTACAAACAGTAACTCAAACACTCGTCAGCATCAGACTGCACCATCATTATATAACCAGCATGAAACTGCATCAGTAATGCAAGCACCGCTAGTCTATTTAAGCTGTATGTATCCTTAGTAATCTATTCATGGAAGGTATTAGAAGGTACATGAAAGCTCTTAAGTCAAAACGCATCCATTTCCACACTCCTTCCACTCAATATATATGTACAACAATGTACAACATCTTAGCAAGTTTTACCTGGTTAGTTCTTCTGGAGAGAAGTTAAATTGGGGTATGGGTGGGGGAGGGTAACGTTTGTTTTTTGGGGTATTTTTTTGCATTATTAGAAACATGATGCATCATTACACCATCACATCTAGGAGGACAATTCTGTCCTCCTAGCTCTACACTGAGGCTAAAGACTGCCCCGTCTTTCCCTCTGTTCTGATACATATTTATAAGAAGGCAAAGAAAGAAAAAAATAGTTTATTTTCTTTCAAAGTCCAGCCAAACATACATAGTGTTAAATATAGGAGTCTTGCACATAGTTTAATATAGGAGTTAAAAATACACAAGATTTCACACCAAAAAACTGACATTGTGAGCACTGAAACAACCGGTTTAAAAGGGACTTGGGGCAGTTCTGGAGCAGAGATCACTCTCCTCTGCTATTTGTGCATTGAAGGTGGTACCAGACCAGGAGATACTAACAGCCCAGCACATTTCCACAGTGGGGACAAGGGGGACACAGAGGGGACACGGACTGATCTGGAACTTATTATTGCATTTTACTCCCATGTAAGCCCTGGTCTAAAATCCCCATCACTCTTCTTCCACGCTCACTGGAGGAAGGAACATGAAATGCTGCTTCCTGTCTCCTGGAACAGCATGAACATTTAAAATTGCAATAACWACTACTGTGCTAGCCTACTCTCAAGGTCATTTTTTTAATCTACCCGTTGGTTTGTTTTTGGARGATGGACAAGAGAAGGAATATTCTGTTCCTGAGATTCCATCTTCCATTTCTGTTGCTCCAGTTCCATTAGGAGTTTTCCCAAATAGCAGGATTATTAAATTGATCATTTTTAACACTTCCTTCAAGATCAAAAAAGACATTTCCCTTACAGACATCCTTTATGTCATACTGCACCTCCTGAAACAACAGCAGAAACTAAAAATACTTCTTTCAGGGTGAAAAATTAGCAGYAGAATCCAAAGGCACAAGACAGGTCAGTCTGCAGATGAACAGGGACATCTTTCCAAATGCGAACTGGTGCAATGCTACCTTGCAAAAAGGAACAGAAATGGCTAAAAATTAAAAGTGATTTTTTTTTTTTTTTTCAGAAACTGAAGGTTTTCCTCTATCCCGAGCAGTATTCTTCAGTTTGTCCCAAGGAACAGTTTCTTTTCTAAGGCCTATCTGTCCTTTCCATCTCTGGATTTCCAACTGTCTAAACAAACAAAAGCCTCATTTTAGTAATGGTCAATGTCCATTTTTCAATGCACTTTTTTTTTTTTTCTACTGTTCGTCTTAGGAGGTACAGAGCTCTTCAAAAACATGTTTTTTCTCTCTAGTGCTGTGCACTGCAACAGGTCCCAGCTCATGGCAGGCTAAACCTGCATGTCTCTTCCCATTAAGCAGACACCACGGTAACATTTTATTACATCCTTTCTTTCAGGAAACTGAATGCTCCAAAGACATTACAGAACAACTGAAGAGTTAGTTTCAAGTTGACAGTGAATCTTCTACAAACACCAGTTTTAACTCACAAATAACACTTGTTACAGAAAAAAAAAATATAAAGGTCTATGAAGTATTCTAATGGATCTTGTTTATGACATAGGGTACTGTAACTACAGGAGGAAATTCCCATATTTCCCTTAATTTTGTACAATATTCATTTTTGAAATGAAATATAAAATAAAAGGCAATTGCCATGAAAAAACTATTTAATGCTTAATATTTTAGCTATGGATACCTAATATCCATTATGTGTATTAACCTGGAAGAACAAAGACAGTCAAAGATCAGATAGTCAATTMTCACCAAAAAATGAAGATGTCACTATGTCACAGAAATTCTTCTATGCCTTGAAGCTTTCAATGATACAGCGTTTATTAATAATGAAATTGAAAAAAATGAAATAACATGCTAGCGTTATCCATGCCTTCTTGTTTTCTCTCTTTGTCCAGAGCTTTTTATCTCCGATTGCAACTTCTGAGATATTTTGGTGTTCTTATCAAATTGCAATAAGAAAATAAGACTTATTTTGATAATTGAAAATGGTTAACTATTAATACCAGACAGGGAAATCTAGATGGGCCTACCACTCAATATCCATTTCATAAACAAATATYGGTAACTGAAGAAAAACGTTGAAAGCTCAGAAAAAGGTTACATTTAGACAATTTATATTTTGACAGTATTTTTCCAAACTGTTTTAAACGCATCTCTGCATGCAAAATCCTATGTTTGTTTGCATACCCTTGTAGCTGTTTTTAAAATCATGCCCTCAAAGCCCTAGGCAAAGATGTAGAATTGGAAGCTCTACGTGTACTAACTCATGAAACTACTCAAATGGTATTTTGCCATTAAATTCGTAAAGCTTGCAAATCTTAACATCAAATTAAATCTCACAGTCTCTCTGTTTTACCTTAGTCAGCTTACGTCTCCTCTCCAGGAATASGATGTCCAACTATTCAGGGTTTAACAGGTGAAGCTGGCAATAAACCTTAAGTCACAATAACATTTCAATATTTAATTAAAATCAAGTTTTATATATATATATATCTCCTTTTAAAAGTAACTTAATCTAGGCAGTGCTTATACAAAGCTCTGGCTAAATGTATGTCTTGGTGCATTTCTTGCAGAGCAATAGTTTAGGTTAGTAGGCAGCTTTCCTCTGCACAGCATATTCCAATTCCCACAGCACGGCTCCTATCTGCACTCTACTTTCTCCATGACAAAACCCTGCTTAGGCCTCACAGGGCTTTAAATTCCATCCTTTAAATCCCTTAAATTCTGACTGCCRTGCTTGGCTTTACCCAGCAACTTCTGTAGGACTCCTGGGCACAGGGCTTTTGCTGGTGTTTTTCTCCCCCAAAGAGGATTTTTCCCCTGCAGAAAGAGCCCAACTCCCTGTATGGACTGTCCCTGTTTGGACTACCCTGTTGGCTAACCACATGCTTGACCACATCTCCTTGGGGTACTTACCACGGGGACACACTCACTTAATACATCACACCTTCAGAAATTCCTGTACTGGAGGTATGCCATATACCATGCTTCATAAAATTCTGTTCAAACCAACCACCTTGGACAATAATGAATTCACGTGTGTTTTCCTGCCTCTGCATCCTCTCTGTTCTCGAGCGCTTCTTTAAGGATGAGCTCAGACACCCTCTTCCCTCAGCTCTGCTTTTTACAGAACAGGGGCTCTCTCTTTATTCCTTTTCTCTCTCCCAGATGGTCTCCCAGGAAAAGCACATCCCTTCGCTGCAGAACATCCCGTTCGGCTCTGTCCAGTCATCCTCTGCTACGGCAGCACTCACAGTAAAGATATTTAAACATAATGTTACTACCTCATCTTTGCTTTCCTTTTTTTTTCTCTTTTTTTTAAATACCTCCCAAATCACAGGACTTGGAAGATAAGATCTGGTGCCTGAATCCAGTTTATAACACTGTAATGAGCCAGTACACAAAACAAATGCTAGTCAAATATATCAGAAAAAGGTAGCATCTCCCACACTAGCAGTCAATAGCAGCAAGAGCCAGAAGCCTTTTACCCTTCTGGTACCAAATTCATTAAAAAAGGGACTCTGCCACACACAGCAACAACATTAATGTCTTGCAGAGATTTGTACAGACACCACTCTCTGTGCTCACTGAGGGACAATGGCACTTTCATGCTCCTGTGCTTTAGAATATTCTCTTCTCATTTTACACTTACGATCCATACTAAGAGATTTAAGAATCAAAAATAAGAAATGCAAAACAAAATGTTTAATTATCCAAATAAAATCAAAGATTCAAACATAAGTTCACGTCACTCCAAATGTAAGCGGTAAAACTTCACAGAAGCTTGGAAAGTGTTTGTAAAAGGCAAAATAATGCTATTTGCAGAACAATTCCTTCTTTAATCCTTGCTTAAGCACTGGTTTACCTGACGTCCAATTTGACAAGGGATTTCACAGCTAATATATTTAAACAGTGACTTGAAAGGAATGATCATGAGAACAAAGCCATATCTCAGGTGGCAAAATCAATGACAGACTTCAAGTACATTACAGTGAGCTGGCAAGAAAGGTACAGCATCAAGCCCATGTGTTTAAATTTTCCTACGCATCTCAGGAAAGTTTTCCTTTCTTTTCTCTGCTTCAGTAATTTCTCTAAAAAAACATGCCTGCTAATCAAGTCGGGCATTTTTCTGTGTTCTGCTTGCTGAGATTTGTAATAATATGCTTTGACTTTTACTCCTAGACCAAATATTTTAATTGTTGAAATAAATGCATTTCCAACRATGCACCTATATAAATCCTCAACTGCTGAGGAAAAACGAATCTGTATTCCTCCTGAAACAAAAAAAATTTGCAGTGTGTGCAAAAACTAGAATGTTTCACAGCACACGAAAACTGATCAGATGCTTAAAAGATCCCACTCTGTGCTCTCACCTGAAGAATCGGTAGCTATTTTTAACCAAATATTTAATGTGCAAATGCTCAAGTTGCAGGTACTCTACTCAGAGACATCCTTTGAAGACTGTTTTTGCACTTTTCTGAGTATTACCACTCTATCTTCCCTCTCCCACCCCAATAGTGCATGACTCTTGAATTACTGTTGCCGCTTTCCGACTTACTTTACATTCATAGTTCTTAAATACATGAAGTCTAGTAAAAAAAGCATTATTAGTTCCCAAATCAGCTCCTCTAATTAACGATAGGTCTGCTGGTACTAGCATTCTAACACTCCTAGAACGGACAAAACATAGTATTTAGTCTCCCACCCTTTGGCTGCCTTAACACCAACAAACCTGGTTTTGCAACAAGCTTGGTTTTCTGAACTGATCCAAACAATGTACAATGCCCAAGACACTTTAAGTGCTTTCATAACAATTCTGCCGAAGAAACAAACTGAAACATTTATGATGCAAAATGATTGGACATTTTCTTTCTACAATGCATTCATTCTTTCATCTTGTTAGAAAATCACTCACTCAGTGACTTTTTCTTTAATACGCCATTGATTCCATCACTAGCAGATTTATACAGTGAATGGCATTCAAAAGATTTCTTAGGGCTTGGTTTTAACTTGGGAATACTAAAAAGTAGGTAGAATATTTCAGAAAAAAAAAAGTTTTCTGGAAGCTTTTCACCTTTCTGCTTTTCATTTGCATTTACCACTTTTTCCACCCAATTTCTTACTTAAGTGGCTCCTGTTATTTATTGTTTGCAAAAGTGGCTCCTGTTATTTATTGTTCACAAAAATACCTCTTTACTGTTCTATGTCCCTACATCTGTATGTTCCACAACTGCAGTACTTTTTTGTAATACCTTAATAAAGTTGTGGCCTAGTCATGTGACCTGCTATAATAAAGTTGGGACCTGATCATGTGACCTGCTATAATAAAGTTGGGGCCTGATCATGTGATCTGCTGTAATAACAGTACACTGAGGAGCTCCATTTTATGCAAAGATTCTGTATCTTATCTGTAAGATTCCTTGAAAGGTATTCAGATTCATTTTTCATGATAATATTCTAATAAGACTATGGCTTTTAAGTCAAATAAATATGCAGGCTGGTCCCAAGATGTACCTTCATCTACTGCTATGAGAAKTACTAATAGGCATTCCTCCCTTAAAAACCTAAGTCCAGTAAATGTCAGCTTCTAGGCTCCTTCATAATGAAGTTATCTATAACTATTGATGATATGAAAACATATTAATCATGATTATTTTTAGCCCTGACTACTCCACTTTCCACAAGAGAAAACTGAGGCACATGATTTCAATGAAAAAAAGAAGTCATCAGCTTATAAGGTTCTTAAAATCTTTTGGTAAACCTCTAAGTCAATGTCCAGTACTATCCGGAGCATTTTGGATAAGGAAGTAGATAGCTTCCTGCTTAAAACATACAGTACCAGAATCAAAAGAAAACTTGGGAAACTTTGTTTAATTGAAATGAAGAGGGTCTTCTAAGACTGCTGTTACCTTCCAGGATTGCAAAGCAGCACATACAAATACTGCATTTTTTTTTAATTATTTTTCGAAGCAGGACAATGGTACCAGAAATCAGCAGGATCAGAAATAAGTTCTGACCCCACCCAAATGAGCCATTGTCACTTCATCGCTATTTTCATGCTAACACATAGGAAATTTGCCACTTCAAACAAGGAATCAGTTGTATTAAGCTTGTATGTCTGATAGCATTCAAGAACCTATGAMGACTACTGAAATTTGAAGACTTCAAAATACTGAACTGTTTTTTTTTTTTTTAATTATGGCAAACAAGAAAAATTAAAACATACTTAGAGTGTCAACTATAACAAGCATAAGCGAAACTCTTGGCAGCAAGCAGCAAAGGCTAACTTACCATTAAAGGTGCACAGTATGAAAGGAGGAAATAAGTTAACAAACTCCCCGCCAATCCCAGCAACACAAAATGTACAGCATCTGGTAAGGGCCAATTCAAATTATTACTCTATGACATACAGAGCTGCTCATCTTTTTCAAAGCACTCATCAATTAAAATCCATTTGTTACACAGACTACTGAACTTTGTACAAAAACGCAGAAATAAACCCATAAAGGGTCACTGTGGAAAGCAGTAACCCCAAAGACATTACTCTCACAGAGAAGCAGTGTGCTGGTCCTTCAGAACAGGAATTTAAAAACATGATAATGCAAYGGAATTAGACCATGAAGTCAAAAAGCATAACCCAACAGACATAGAAACTCAATAACAAAACACTCCAGTTGCCACAGTCTGGGGCAGGTCCCTTACTCTCACCTTGCTCTCAGTTCTTGTGTTCTGCAGGGAGATACACAGCAGAATAAAGAAGGCTGCTCTAAGTGATGACCCATTAATGACTATAGAGCACTTGGAGAAACCCCAGGACATTTCAAATAAACACTCCAGGCCTCAGGATGCAGACATCTTGAGTAAAAGTACTGTCAGTCCACATAMAACAGACCAGAGAATTCTTCAGGACCTCCTTGCTCTTAAACAATACAGAAAAATTTCTTCTGCTTTTTTTTTGCCCCATTACCTTTACTGTTAATATGAAGTTTAACAAAACAGGTTTTGTCAAGACAAACTAGAAGGGTAAAACCCGAGTACAGGATGTTTGTTTCATGTAGTCTTGACAGGCCCTTATTGCCCAGCATGAAGCTCCTCTATAGAATGGGGATGCTTACACAGGCATTAATGTCACTGTTTAGCAGCCTTTGGAGACATGCAGGAGCAAGAGAACAATATAAGCAAACCAATTAACTATCTTAAAATATATCTATGTGTTAACATTTTAAAATATCAAATAAACTGTATTAAAGATTTAGTCTTAAAAGGAAACTTCTTTAGGGATATGATGCCTCTCTGTGATTATTTACTTACAGTGGCATCTATCTGTTCGAGGATCTTCATGAATTGCTCTGCAATTCCTTTTATCCTCTTGTCCAGCTTTTTCAGAGCTTCTGCCTGGAGATCTTTTGCCAAAAAACCCTGAGGAAGAAAAAGATATAAGCTAGGATAACATTACTTCACAACCTGCATACTACTCAGCTAAAAAAAAARAAAAAAAAAAATCAATCCACTGCAGCAAAAAATATTTTTCCTATTTCTATAGTTTCAGGTACAATAAAAATTCCAATTTTTTTCATCAATGCTTTTCTAGATCTAAATAATATAATTTGTTCAATATTGAACAATATCTTTTTTTTTTTTCCAAATAGTGCCATTCAGGTTCCTATATCGAAAACTCAAAGAGCATTTGAAGTTTATTAAGAATTTTACAGGTCCCTTGAAAAGATGATAGGGACAGCTTATTACTGATTGTATAAAACCTTCAAGTAGTACTTTAGAAAATATGCAGTTTTTTTTTTTTTTTAAAAAGCAGTTTTGCAAACATTTGAAAGGACACAGAGCTGACATACCTTCTGGATGCTTGTGAACTCTTTATTAACTTCCTCTAATTTATTAGCTATTTGGTCCACTGACTTCTCCAAATCTTTTAACTTCTTTAACTCAGCCTCTTCCTCGGGACTATTCTGTGTATTCAAAAGCATAAAATTCACAACTGTGGAACAAATAGAGTCACTATGTAGCTAACGTGAAGCAACAGCATGACACAGAAGCGATGGCTTTTGCTCACTTAAATACTACATTGTGGTTATTCTTCCCATACCTTAACACCATCAAACAAGCTGCTTCCAAAGCTTTACAACAAGTACAGTGGCAATGCAAATAAACATGTTAAATGAGAATCATCTGAAGAGAAAATGAAAAGTGCAAGTAATTTTCATCTATTAACTTTATTACCTTGGAAGTAGAGGCAACATATGAGGGGATACTACTTTGTCCTCTATTGTCCTCTAAGAGTACATCACTTCACCAGAAGTAACCCAGCAGCTACAGGTTTTTATTGTTTTTCAACCAGAAAAGGGTATCATCAGAGAAAAGGGTATCAGCACACAGGAAGTTCATGAGTGCTATTAGATTAGGCAGGAGCTTGCCAGGAACATAATTTCAGAAAGCTGCATAGTTACACACGGTGCATGAGACTGAACACAGCTTGGTGGGGATGAACACAGGGTGAGTTTTATGCCAAAACCTATACTCATGTCCAGCAGTCGAGCCACTAATAGATACTAGAATAATGGAAGAAAAAAAAAAAAAAAAAAAAAAGAATTCTAATAGCAATACTTACCCTTTTCCCAATCAACATGACTTTGCAACCATTTTTAACACCAAGTGCTGACAATGGTTGTTCCATTTCTTTCAGAGACTTTCCTAAATATGATGAAAGAGAAAAACAAAAGTCAAAATATTACTAATAGCAGTAGGTAATACTTTCAATTGTTCAAGTAAGAAAAAAAAAAAGTGTTAAAAATACTTTTTCAAAAGCATTCAGAACACAGACATCTGAAAGTAAGATAAAAGGAACTGCCCTTAAGAAATCCGGACAGGTGCRTGAGTTACCTTTGTATATCAGTTTCTGAAAGGGAACTGGAACACCAGTGACTTGTTCTATAAGCAGAGCCATGTCCTGCAGCGTAGGTTCCCCATCTTCCTGATGAGAAGCAACCTGAATACTGTGCTTTTCRTTACCTAACAAAATCAGAATGATAGTAATATTGATTGTTACCCAGAAAATTTTAGGTAGAATCAGTTTCTCATACTTATTTCCATGAATGCAGAAAGTTTTCAAATCACCAGTACTCATGTACAATCTTAATTTTAAATAACAGGGTTCTGCTGAAATTCCTTTGTCTTAGAGTTACTCAGCTGAAAAAAAAAAAAAAACATTTTTACCTTCTAATAACCTGAAGAGTTGGATAAGGAGAAATCTACTGGCTATAAAGCTCCTAATAAAGAAGAGATGGGGGGGAATATTGTTTAAGAATGCAGATGGTACAGGAATCCCACAAGTTGGAGAAGAGAAGTCCTGACTTTCATGATCTGTTTTAGTTCCTACTTACAGGAACTTTTAAGGACACAAGTCTTGGGAAACCAGAGATGACTTGTCACTCCCTTTGCTCCCTTCCTCTTAGTCCAATGTCTTCCCAGTCAGCCTTTCCTCTCCTGGGCAAACCCTCTTAGCGTGAGGATGGTTTCTCCCCTAACTGCATATCCACCTAGTATAAAAACCTGCAGTCACTGTTTCTAAGTGCCAAGTGAGTTCCAGTGTGGGTCTCCAAAGTCTTAACCACAGCAGCCTTGAAGAGGTTTATCATGAAACTGCCAAAGTCTTGACAGACTCTAGCCCTTAAATCCCCTCTTCACCTCACTCGACTCGTCAGGGACGTTGGATGCAGTCAGAGGATGGTTTCATGTGAACAGGTCCATCGACGTGACAGTCTGGGCAGGGCAGGTAGGAGACTGCATGGCCAGGACAGGAAACTCGAGCAGCTGGACAGCCCACACCATSAGGAGCTGAAAGCAGCCCCAGCTGCCAGGCCTTGCCAGCCTGCTCCAGTCCTGCTCACGGAGAATCCTGCTCACACTCCCCAGGATCACGGGGTTCCTATGTGCAAGGAACAGCAGGCAGCTCTCTGAACAAAAGGACCACGTGGGTTCATCTCTGCCTCTCAGCTGCTCCTGCTCTGTGCAACCTGTGCTGCAGGCCTGCCAAAACACCCACCCAAACGAGCCATCCCTGGCTGCAAGGGAGTTGAGAGACACTATTCAGTTGGGAGGAAGAGAGAACTCTAACAAGTACCAGAGAGAAAACTATCCTCRTGCCACTGATTTTAAATGCACATATCTTTACAATAAACTAAAAAAATATATATAAAAAAGCTATAAATATTTTCATATGTTTCAGTTCCCCAAGGCCAAGCTACATAAAAACCTCAAGACTGTGCAATCTCCAAGAATGTTCTGGAAAGCAAAAATGATTTTAAGCTCAGACTCTCTCTCCAGCAGCTCCCAAACACATTTATCTGCTCTACATAAGGATTGACAGCACTTGCGGAAACAAAAAAAACAAAGAAAACAAGAAAGGACTTAAAGAACAGCTGAAGATTGCCTTGCAATGAGGACAGCTTTACCTACAAACTATGAATAGCACTTTAGGGCAGATATAGCACCAGTTACACTGTCAATTCACTGATGAATGAGATCACCACGAAAAACATCTCAGACTAAAACTGGTAACACAATTTACCATTTTTTCTCCCTATAAATAAGAGCAATGAYTTAAAGTCTCAGCTAAGGTAAGTTTCCCAGTTCTTTGGGAAGACTCTAGGTACATTTAGGGAAAAATCAGGTCAATTCAGTGGTTTGTGGCTTGTAGAGTGGTACAGGCGGGCCTAACCCCGTTCCTTTCCGTGAAGCCTTCCCGTTTCCATCGTTCCCGACGCTCACACACACACACACACACACACACACACGCACGCACAGCGGGCGTTCGCCCCAACGTCAGCCGACGGCACCGGGTGCGAACCCCGCGCCCGCAGCCCGCGGCGACGGCAGCCGCCCGCTCGCCCGGCCCGGCCCAGGCGCTGCCGCGTGCGAGGAAGGCCGCACGGACAAGACCCCTCGCCCCGAGGAGGCTCCCGCAGGAGAAGCCGCCGAAGCTCCGTGCGCAGCGCCCGGAACGGSAGCTGCCTCGGGAACGAAAGCCCCCGGGCGCCGGCGGCCCCTTTGGGAGGCCGCCCCCCGCCTGCCCGCGCCGGCAGGACGCGCCCCCGGGCGGCTCTTACTGTACGTGACGGTAACGGTCACCGGGGCTCCGCGCGCCGCCATCTCGCCCCGGCCACCGCGAAGCCTGCTGGCGGCGCTTCCGGGAGCGCGCCGGAAACGCGTCACCGCGGCGGGAGGCCCTGCCCCAGCGTGACGTCACGGGAGGCGGAGAGAAGGAGGCTGATGTTCCCAACAGGTGCGAGGCCCCGCCCCCATCTCCTCAGCCCCCGCCCCTCGGGCCCGCCCCCGCCCCTCGGGCCCGCCCCCGCCCCGCACCGGGGCGCGCGGCTACGCCAGGATCCGCTTGGGAAAAATACCTTTATTAGCGATAAATAAAGCTGCTTCTCTACAGAGATTTGTACAAAGTGCTTCTCGTGTTAGTTAAGAGCTCTGTCTGGGCTGGACAACTCCTCTCCTGCGGCCGAGCGGGGGTTTGGCACCAGCGCTGTGCCCGCAGCCTGGGAGCTCAGCAGAAGGAAGACAGCAGACTTTTTTTTTTCCCCCCACTTTTCTTTTTCCTCCTTTTTTTTTTTCCTCTTACAACATCTGTTGCTACTCCTGCCGGCGTTGAAACATGGCAGAAGCAACAGTCTGGTTTAAATGTGACACTGCGAAGGAAGTAGCTGTGGCATTGTAGGGAGCAAAATGAGGCTCCGTCTCCGGATACGCCTGTCCTAAAGCAGTAGGAACACACAGCAGGTTAAGATCATTGCCGGAAACACCACACAAAAGGGTCAGCTACTCTAAATGATTTTATGTTACACTGGAACACATAATGTTAATGATAAGCCTACCATCCATTACAGTTATTAAGTAGGTTACAATACAATAGCACAAAAGTCTCAAGACTGAATTTGTTTTAAAATGCCTCTACTTTATCAAATAAGCATAGAAATGAGGAAGCTATTTTACAGACAGGAAGCAGCAACATACAGTCTCAGTTTCAAGAAAGAGAACCATAATAGAAAAATCAAACAGAGCTCAGCTATAAACAGCCACCTTTACTCTTCACGGATTACTTTGTCCATAAGACACAGGAAATGAAAACCTATTAGACTGACGGCTTCCACTGAAGGAAATTGTGCCAAGTTTTCCATTAACAGAAAAGTCAGTAGTAGAACAACTTTCTTCAAAGAAAGGAAACACCAGCAGCCATTCATATTGCATACTATGGATGTAGTGATATTAAAGTTACACTGGAAGGACAAGTTCCCCAGATCTTTTTTAAAAAATCTTGTAATTTGATTTGTAAAATGTAGTTTGTCATATCCATTGTGCTTTTGGAACACTTATGTAGCGGGGATCTTGGGCAACCCAAATTCATCCACCAGCACACCATCCTATAAGGAAGAAGAAGAAAAGAGAAACAAATTAATAAGTTCTGCATTCTTTTCACAATTTTAATGATATCTGTAATTGTGTGGCAAGTGAGATCAAAATAAAAGCAACCGGTATTCTAAGCTGTATTAYAGCAGTGAAAAGCAAAAATATGAAAAACTAAGCTTATAAGGTCTACAAAGACAGAAGTTTAAAAACATCATTTTAGCTCTTGAAAACAAAGAGCATAAATTACACCGTATTCTCTCACGCASAGATGTGCTGATAATACCGACTTATCATGAAGTTATCTTAGGCTTTAGAAGGCCAATTCATCATACATAAGCAGATCATCCAAAATATAGAAAACATTAAGCACAATTCTTATTTAACATACTGAGGATTCCAAACAGCAAGCAACCCACATAAATATGATTAATTCTGAATATATATATATATATATGTTTTTCCCTTTTAAAGAAAAGACTCACTTTGTTTTTTGTATCGATAGGAGTGCCTTCTGGTATGGCAGGAGCAGACGCAGCTTCGTCTAAGTAGGAATTGTCTTCATCGGCTAGAATTTCATCACCTAGTGCATCCAATTCTGAAATAATATTATTATGTAGGTTAWAAAAATAAGCAAGGCATTTCTTTTGCAGAAAAAGTATCTCTTGTAGAAAAACATGGTTCACAATGCATCACTATTTCTTAGTTGCTTATTATGTTTCTTATTTAACTATAATTCGGAAAAACTTCCTCACCCTCCACTCAAAAGAAGCTCAGGTAACGAAAGTYAAGTTTCTTGGAAGAAATGCAGGTTTATGCTTAAAAGAATAATCAAAGCTGTTTTTAAACACTATTTTTTCCTTCGTGTTCCTCACCTGCTTCCAAATCATCCTCATCAATCTCTGGCGTTCCATAGCTACGGCTCAGCGCTTCCTGGACTTCATTGGCTTCTTCCATCATATCCTCTAACTGATCTTGTATGTCCTGCAGCAATAACAACAAAATCAGCACATCTGTATTCAACAGTTTTAGCTAAYTTTATCAGAGCTTAGCCACAATCAGTCTACAAGGCACTGACAGACGTTTTAAATATAAATATAAATCCTTTTTTTTTTTTTTTTTGGAAAGTACATCTGGAAAGTACTCTGGAAAGGATATCTACTTTCCAGAGAAAAACATCTGGCCAAAACACGTGTCAGAACAACAACAAAAAGGTATAGATATATATCTATACCTACTGGCACTATACCTAGATACAAAAAAGGAAATTACCCTTGTCTAAGCGTTTATCACACAGACACTATTAAAAACAGCCCAGGAAAGAACTTAGTGGAATTCAGCAATGACATCTGATGAACATTTTAATGCAGCATGTTTGTTATATTTCAAGATCTTAAGATTTTAAATTGCATTTCCTGAAGAACACTGTGAAGCTTTGCATGCTTCTTAAAAATATTTTCTACAGTAGCTACCAWGAATAAGAATACAGTGGGACAAAGCAGCAGCAACATGAGAAAAAAAAAAAGAAAGGATAAAGAAGCTATAGAACCAAAGTAGCTGCTAACATTTATGTAGAGATGCAAAGAGGAATGAAGAAAGAGAAAAGATTAGGCCAGTATGGCAACAACACGTAGTGCAATAAAGGCAACAGCTGATTGTG